CCCATCACCATAGGAAAAAACATTGCTGAGAAAGAATGTAATAACATTTCTAAAGCGTGGGTGCCGCATAGCAGAGGCAAAAAGCAGGAAAAAAAAGGTTTCGTAGGTGGATAAGGCCCGACTCAAACACGGTGGATAAAGGAGAAAAAAAAAACGTCCGATGCGAGTCCAAAGCGCTGGGGTTGACCGCCATAGCGGCGAGAGAATAGCCAAAGAACGCGGGAACCAGTGGTCATGGCGTAACCTGCACGTCCCCACCGACTGCCGCTGGATGGAAGAGCGTCCCCCCCCCAAGGAGACCAGCGGTCCCCCGCTTAACTGTTTGAGCCGTGCAGCATTTCAAATGGCCGGTTGCCATCGACGAGATGTAAACATCATGAGAATGAAAAGGTCAACACGGCTGCTTGGAGTGCATCGAGGACGAAGCGTCGAGACGAAGTTAAAAGCCGCGAATAAGATGGCGTGAAGAGATATGACTAACGCGAGGCGGCTGAAGAAGAAGAATGGCAAGAAGCTGGAGACGGTGACTAGGCTAGGAACGGTATAAAAGAAGCATGAAAAGAGTGTTGAGACGGATAGTGAGATAAGAAAAACGACCTAGATCAAAATCCGGAAGTCACTAGAGCTCTCAGAATAGACTTTGGAAGGGGTTATGGTGTGCTCCTGACGAACAAACAAAAAGAAAACTCCGTACTGTAGCTTAAATCAACTTTCGAAAGCCTGCTTGGAGCTACTGGGAAAACGTCCCTATGCATGCATGTTTCACTTCAGTACTTTCTAGCTGCAGCTTAAATCACATCACATATCAACCGTGGCCAACGAAACCCTCGCATCCGAATTCTGTTTCGGAAGCGGCTACTATGTCGCGACTATTCTAAGAAAACTCGAGAAAGTGAGACAAAAGAAAAGAAAATAGGTAAAGTGCAGGTCCTGCTATGGTGTTAAATAGCTGACCATAAGGTCACGGGACTAGAAGTTATAGCAGAGTGAGAAACGTGTGCAAAGAAGAGAGAAGAGAAGTGCTGTTTCGCAATCGAGCAGGGTGGCAGGGGGGGGGGCGTGGAGAAAACGCCTAACAGATAGTAAGTTGAAAAAGCCTCAAGCCCAAATCTATACCGAATGCTATCCCCCCGGGTTGGGAAGCGTTCTTACAAAAAGAAAACGAGGCGAGATGTGTGGAAAGAAGTAAGACTCTGGAGTTCAAGGGGCGGCTTGATAAATGACAAAAAAAAACATGAGAAGGAGAACGAAAAGTCATATGCGTGAAACGTCTGACAAGCTGCCCAGAAGGGCTGCTCGGCGCCCACCAAACGAGACAAGAAACCCAAAAAAACGATTAGGGTTGGCATCAGAGGAGGAGAGACTATCATCAAACGATGAGCACGGAAAACGGAAAACTGTCTCAACTGACCTGACCTCCACCACGTGCAATCGGACGCGCTGCTACCAGTGATGTTCTGGGTATTTCACCCCTTGGAATACAGAGCTAACGCTAGTTGCACTAATACATTTATCCTGGAGAACACGAGACAGAACAGCAGAATATGGCAGATGTCGCGTGATGCCAGTGGAGTCGCGCGGGCCTCTTCCGACCCGAGGTCTTGAGGGGAAGGCCAGTCAGTGAATACAGTCTTCCATCGCCGAAGTCCGCCGCCGTCCTCCCGTCGTCCACGCTGCTCGAATCCCCGTTCCGCCGTCGTCGTCGCCTCCGCCTCCTGTAATCAGCTCGTGTCATCGGAGCATTTCTCGGCCTACGGTAAAGGCTCTATCTAATGGTTTCTCGGCAAAGCCCGACTCACACAAGAAGCCTCCCTTTCTAGGCACTTCAAGGTCATACTTCCAGCTTCATTCTTCGCCAAGCAAGTACTAAAGCGCGCTTTCCGTTTGAGGCACCACGGTGTCTCCGGCGCTCTATATACGCCATTCCCTCTCCAAATCGGAGAGGGATTGGCTCCGCGCCCGAAAAGGGCAGCTCGCAGTAGTACTTTCAATGCTCCTTTGAGTCAGCCTACTTGAACAATTATGACATGCATAATGCTGATGTTCGTAATGATTCCCTCTCAGTCAATCCCAATTCTAGTTCTACTGGTGCGATGTCAAACTAGGAATTCCTCGCCGGCCCTTGGGTAAAAAATTCTTTTTTTTATTCGCCAATGCATGATCTTTGATAAAGAATAGGTACGCTTTTCTTTCACTGCTTGACTTTCACCATTACGATATTATTGCACTTGTGGAAACCTGGCTTTATCCTGAAGTCGATATTTTGTCGCTTCTAGGTAAACCATCACTTCAACATGAAATTGCTAGATGCGACAGCAAGAATAAGAAAGGGGGTGGAGTGGTTCTTTTTATTTGCAAATCCTTTTACTCTAATATGGTTTTTGCGGAGTCTGCTCTGAACGGATATGAAATTCTAAGTTGTGATTTGACTACTGGTGATAAACCCTTTTGTGTGGTGGTTACTTACAGAATTGTCTGCATAGTCATACTGAGCAATTGTTCAAGGCAATTAGTGACATTATTTCATTCGACTGTAGATGCCTTATTTGTGGTGATTTCAACTTTCCAGGACATTATCTGGTCTGATACCCCTATTGCCACCTCCTCTATCTCGAATTCTTTCTTGGAAATGTGCTTTTCCCCACTCCTTGCACCAGTTGGTCAGGAAAGATACACCGGGTAACCATATACTAGACCTCATTTTATGCAATGATGAATCCTTAGACACTCGTGATTGGCCCCCCAATTGGGTCCAGCGATCACTCCTCTCTGCGATTTTCGGTGAATATTGCTACAACCCCTTCAAACATGGTGTGGAAACGAAATTTCAAAGATGCGAACTACAATATCATTTGTTCCTATTTGAGTGGAGTGGACTGGTTCGGTTCGCTTAACGCTGCTTGCACTGTCAAGGAAATGTATGAACTGTTTTTAGCTCATGCAATTGACTTGCTCGTACCCCTCATTAAGGTTCCTGTCCGCAAATCTTATCTTCCCCCTTATCTTTACTTTCGCTCTATCAGAAGAGCTGCTGCCTGGGAGAAAGCCACAATTACAGGGAACGCGGAGGAATGGGCCATATACCACAGGATTAATAGTCGTTCCGCTAAAAAGCTTCGGAAATTCAACAACAACATCGAAGGGAAACTCATTCGTAGTCAAGATAGAGGCGCCTTTTTTACCCTTCTTAATTCAAGATTGAAATCCAAGGCCGCTGAACTTAGACTGGTTGCCACCGATGGCACTGTTGCCGTTACAGATGAAACCAAAGTTGAACTCCTTACGAATGTTTTTGAACAGTCCTTCCAGAGATCACTTTCGCAGGCTCCAATTATTGGGTTGGTGCATAATATCGTAGCGTTTTTTTCGAGCGTGTAAAATTCAATGAATGCAAGCATCACCAAAAAACCGCGTATATCTTTTGAAAGTACTTTCTTCGCTCTACAATGTGGTGTATGCCGTTTCCCTAAAAATCATAAGCATGATCAGATATATTGCTTAGAAGTTGGAAAATCCAGACGGCAGAAATCGGCATCTCGACAGCTGCTATTTTCCAATTTAGGTTGGCGCATAATATCATATTGTTTTTATTCAACGCAAACAATTGATAAGAAACAATGCAAAAAACATGAGATCAGTCCTTTATGTATTCTCCATCATTATTTACGACCTCCTCCCACCTATCAGCTAATTTGTTGAATCCACTCTTCCAGAAATCATCAGTTTTGGAATCGAAGAAATTTTTGAGCCAGTTTTCAAGGTGTTCTCCATTTTCGAAATGTTCCCAGAAATATGATTTGATAGCGAGCGGAACAGATGGAAGTCGGTAGGGGCAAGGTCGTGTGAGTACAGCGGGTGCTGAAGGACTTCCCATCCCAGCTCCTGCATGGGTTATTTTCACGACACTTGCTGTGTGTGGGTGCGCATTGTCGTGGAGCAAGATGACTTGTCTTTCTCGGTTGCGCCTTTCTGACTGAAGAGCCTCATTAACTCGACGCAGTTGAGCCACGTCAAGGTCCTTGTTGACCGTCTGGTTCTTCTCGAGAGTTTCCCAATGCCCGATGCCCTCCCAGTCCCACCAAACGCAAAGCATGAATTCATCGGGATGAAGGTCTTGTCTCACTCTGGGTGCTTGGTGTGTCTCCTGCACACCATTGTTTCCGTTGTTTGACGTTAGCATAGAGACACCATTTTTCATCTCCTGTGATGATTCTGTATAGAAATCGGTTCCTGTGGTCATGTGTAGCGCGATGTCGAGCGAGATTCTGCGATTCGGAGGCGACTTGCCTTCGTTTCTTCCGTGAGTTCATGAGGTACCCATGATCCAAGTTTCTGAGTGTATTATTCCATCGAATGAAAGATGGCGAAGGATCGTCGCATGATCACAGTCCATCTTTTCAGCCAATCTCTAGAAGTTTGTCGTCCAACTTTTTGGTAAGGTCCCTAAGTTGCTCCTCGTCAAAATCTGAAGGGCGCCCGGTGGCCAGTGCTCTTCGTCGTGTGGGCGGCGTCTTCCAAATCGAAATCGCCCTCTTTAAAACTTGGCGAACCACTTCTGGACGGTTGATTCACCTATAGCATCCTCTCCGTACACACTGCAGATGTCAGGAGCGGTTTCAGCAGCTTTCTGGCCTTTATGAAAGGCGAAAAATAGGAGGTGTCGAAAGTGCTGATTTTTGTCGCCTGGGTACTGCATTTTCTGTACCCTGTATCCGAACACAGTTCGACTTTTAGGAAAAAGCAATCAGGCAGTAATGTAGATCAGTATAAGCATTCTCAAATGATATGCGCCGTTTCCCGGGTAATTCTCATATTGATTGAATTTTTACCCTTCAAAAAAAAAACCTACCACGATTATGCACCAACCCATTATGTGTCCGATTCAGTTGCAGAGGAAATTTACAATCTGCTCTCCAAATGGCCTCCATCCCATTCAATCACTGCTGATCACATACCTCTTCAATTCATTAGAGGGGTCGCACATGTTATCGCATGTCCGCTTGAACACTTGTTCAACCTCAGTTTCATGCGGTCTGAGGTCCCCGCCAAGTGGAAGCTATCACTTGTTACTCCGGTTCAGGGTCAACCCTACGTTGCTACAAGTAGCAACGGGGGGTCGTATTTTGATGAGTTTGTAGAGGGGGGGTCGTACTTGCTTCGGTTGTAAGAAGTTGCATGTGATGAGTGGGGAGCGGCGCGGGAGAAAATTTGCCGTTTCAGCGCGCGTATATACCCCCCCCGCTCGACGGTAATTTTTTGGGGTAAAAATTGTTTGAAAGAGGGGGTCGTATGAAACATTTCATGAGGGAGGGGGGTCGTAAAAACTTTTTGAAAAGTAGCAACGATAGGACCGACCCTGCTCCGGTTCTCAAGAGAAATCCCTGTACCTCTCCAAACAACTATCGTCCGATCAGTATTACATCTATATTTGCCCGACTTTTTGAAAAGATTTTGAAAAAGAGAATCGAGGCTCACTTACAAACTCATTCCATTATTCCCCCGACCAGCATGGGTTTCAGCAGTCACTGCCATGCTTTCTACATTGAATGACGTGACTTGTTACCTGGATAGTGGAACATGCGCAGATGTCATCTATCTTGACTTCTCCAGAGCCTTCGACCGTGTGCCTCATGGATTGTGGGCATCCATCCTCGCATCATTTCTTGGATCAGAGCCTTTCTCTCTGACCGCTGGTTTATGGTTCGACCTGATTCAGCCCTTTCCACGCCTCGGCCTGTACTAAGTGGAGTACCCCAGGGTGGTGTTCTTTCGCCAATACTTTTCAATATTTACGTTCACGAATTGCCCAGTCTTATCGCATCTTGTGGAGCCAAGAGTGTGGCCTTTGCTGATGATATGAAAGATCTACAAACTAAATAAAAACTCCTCAGGATTGCGACATTCTTCAACGTGCCCTTGACCTCACCTCTTCTTGGTCACAGGAATGGTGTTTGCCTTTGTCAAAAGAGAAAACGAAGGTTATGCTTTCACATCCGGTCCACCGCTAGCCCTTGTGACCCTTCCTACTATACTTGATGGTGAGACCATTGGAAAATTTGATATGATTACGGACCTCGGATTCCTTATGACTTCGGAACTCAACTTTGACAGTCACTGTGAGAAGATAAGTTGTAAAGCGCTGCAGGTTGTGTCCAAAATTTTCAGAGCTCTGACAACTAAGAACCATTTTCTTGTTAGCTTATAAGTCCTATGTAAGGCCATTAATAGAATATGGCCCTGTCATTTTCAACCCTTATAAACGTAAAGTTATTGACAAAATTAAAAAGGTTTAGAACAGCTTCACGAGAAAGCTCATGATTAGAGTCATTGGATTTCTGTACAACACCATCCCCTCCGCCGCGGACAGGAACGCCAACTTTGGCCTCCGCTCTCTCTGCTGGCGTAGAAACAAGTTCGATCTACTGTTTTTTCATAACATTCTCCATGGGCGCTCTCCTTTAAATCTTACCGCATTTGGTGATCTTAGAGCCTCCACTACTAGAGGTGGAGCTTTCAAGTTGCGCCTTCCTAGAGCTAAACTCAAGTGCAGGTCTCACTTTTTTACCAATCGTGTCTACGCACAGTTCCTCAAGTTGAGCAGAAAGAAAAGTGTTCCTGTAAGTTTTGAGGCCTTCAAAAAGTATCTCGATGAAAACCTAGAGGCTGGATGAATTACTAGTAGATTCTGGCTCTTTTCCTATGCTCCTATTCAACTTTCGTTCCTTTGATGTAATTCCTTTATTTATCTTTTAATTAGTTGTCTCTTAGCAAATGCTACTTTTATACCAGCTGCCATACTTCGATAGAGATTTGCTATCTGGTGCGCTTTTACTCGGTGCAATTGTTTGTCGTTAACTTTAATTTTTTCTTATCACATGAGATGCCTCATGTAATAAATAAATAAAAATATGTATGACCTACAGGTCGACACCTGGCCATCCGGGCCAAGTCATCTGTCGCCTGCTGAAACGTTTTGGATCGTCGACTTCGTACTGAACCTGGACCTGATGATGCCACCCTCCACTGATAACGTTGGACGTCGCGACACCAAAATGGAGGTCAGTTCAACAAACACGATGGAGCCAAAGGTCGCCATTTCGACATGGGCGATGCAGTATAGGTCAACGACTATCGTGCAGCAAAAACTAGATGAACACCTGGCACCATCGCACGTCGCCCAACCAGCTGAAGCGCGACTCCACTCCAATAGTCAATAGCCAATAGCCGTTGAATGTATTCCTTCAACCTCCATAAGCAACACACTTCCATCATCGATCGATCGACGCTGGACAGCGGCACGACGAAAACTCTTCTCAATCGGGCGACACAGGACAACGAAGCTGCACCACGTTCAACTCCACCGTCGACGCCACGACTTCGACGTTCACTAAGGACTCGTCATTCACAGCGCCGACTCATGGTGGATCCGAAGAAGAAATCATACTCTTCTCAGTCAAAAGGGGAGGTGTTGTAGGTCACATATTCTAATGTGTGGTCTACCGTAGTCAATTATAGACCACCTTTTAGGCGCCATTTTCTCTGATGTTGTTACGGTTTGACCAGGATATTTGACCAGGTCAACTACTATATAAACCCCAAACTTCCATTGTATTGTCATTGTATTCGCTTCGTCTTCACTGATAAATCTTCTTCGTCCGACTCCACTCCAGAAATAATAGTAAAACACCGCCTGCACGATAAGTTATGCTTGAAACAAATGAAGCGGCTCCATCTTGATTACTTTTTCTCCTTCTTTTCTTGGTTAACTTCTTCTAGAATCGTTTTTAATTCTACGCACTTTACAGTGCCTCATTTCCTTTACCACGTGGTAGTGTACCACTGGAGAAATTAACACATGAAATGTTGTAAATATATAAAATATGTGTACAGGGCTGTATGTAAATGTGTCTGACAGAAATGAAAGATTTACACTCATTACGCACTACGCGGCGGCGAGTCTAAAGAGGAGTCAGCCACACGCGCTGGCCAGTTAATAAACGCTCCGGTAAGCAGTTGGTTAGAGACGGACTTCATGATGGAAGGCAGCCCATTATTCAACGTGGATTTGGTAAGTGGTGCCCGGATGGAGAAAACCGTGGGAAACGGCTTGAAAATCTGTTCGTCTTCTAAGGGCTAGTGGCCCGCGGCGAGTTAGCCAGTCGATAGGTGTCCTCCAACAGCGCGGCGGGGACGGCCATGCTAAGGTCCTAAGAATCATATCCCTGCGAGTTGCATGTCGCTTCGCACCCTTGGAAAGTCCGCCTGCCCTCCCACTAAGTAAGTTTCCCCTACTTCAACCTCCATCCTTAATATAAAATCCTTCATGCTCTTGACTGGGTGTGCCTGCGGCGAGCCAGGAGTTGGTCTGGCTCCCTGACCCCTGGAGGGAGGATGACAATCGACCGATTGAACAAGAACTGAATCGGAGAAGACTCTATTGATCGACTAGGCGCACGACTAAGGCTGTTGTGCGTGGCCGTATCTGTCTTAGAAGTTTACGACTCGATAGACTATATGCTATACCTCTTCATGTCGCCTGAATCATGAAGCAAGAATGATTATTGCAATAAACGAAATAAACAGTGCTTTAAGGTAGTGTCTCCTCGCCAAATAGTTGTTTAGGATTCGAGGACTATCTCCTTTTGCTGCAAAGGAACACTCCTTGCAAAGATAACGATTTGTCAATAGAGACTAAAACTATCGAACAAGGGTAGATTGATATCACGTCTGTGGGACTACGGTGCCTTCGACACGGATAGCCTTCGACGATGGAGAGGTGCAATGTGGAGAACGACAGTCGCTCCATGGCTTGTAGGCAGCAGTAGCTTTTCCTCACAACCGTCCGGCTCTCCGTTCTAGGAGGGGAAGTTAAGGGGCTACGACGATCGAGCGGGTGTTCCAAACACACCTGCCATCGCATCCCTTCATCTCAAACATAGACCATATTATACGAGTGCGGGTCCGGTTGGCTGCCCCGCATCAATATGATCTATGATTGGGCAGCTGTTTGCCCATGACCTGCTCTCGTTTTCTTTCCCTCTTCAACATACCCCCGCTGCGATGTAGTCATCCATGGATCGTAGAATTGGCTTGAAGACTCTACTTCCCACCTCAATGAATACTTCCCCCCTAGGATCGAGGGGCCATCCCTCCCGCTCCCATTTTTGAATGCTTCAATCAACCATCTTCCATAGCTTCAACATTTCTCTCCATTCCAATTCTGTTGTACCTGTTATAAGCGGCCAGGCATAACAATCTTTCCACCGCTTTCTAAATGTTTTTCGCCACTTCCAAGACGTCCACGTTTCCTCGTTTTTTAGCTGGATAAGTGATGACTCAGCTGTTGAATAGTTCCAATCGTTCAGCGTTTCCTTGAGCTGCTTGTATGATACAACGACTTCTGTGATCAGTCCCCTTTTCGGCTAGGTTACTTTCAGGGCTCATCTTAGAGCTTTCGTACCAGCGACACTGCACGTTTTTTGTGAGGTTCCGATTTTACGCCATGCTCTGTTCTTTCCCATTGAAGACTGACGCTATTTTCTACGCTGTCCACGGACTTCCAAAGGGTTGCTTTCTACAGGCGCTCGGGAACGGGGGTTGTTCGATATTCAGTGTCGTCTTGGCAAAACAGTCGTCCACGCACTGGAGTCGAAGGTGCCTTTTGTCTGCTGGCTTAGCAGAACGAAATTTTCTGAAATTTTTGCAAAAAGCTCTGCATACTTTCACTTTTAATTCCTGCCTTCACGGCCTCTGAATTATGCTGTTTCTACAGGTTCGTCCAAAACTTCTTTAGGGACAATTCTAACATATCGAATTGAATTCAAATCGCTTAGTTGTATCCCACGACTCTTGTCACTAGGGTGGAGTTGTCATTTGTTACCTCCATGACCCTAAACAGACCTATCTATTATTTAATCTGCTAATTTTGGATGTAATTTCTTGCCTTTTCATTGGGTGACCACACATATACACGGTCTCCCACTTTGAGACAGCTTCTGCCCAAGCCTTTGTTTTCTACATCGTACATATTATATTTTTCATCCGTTCCCTTGTGCGTCGCTGTATTGTCTCACTCGTTCATGTGCCCACCCCGTACCTATGCCCGCATTTAGCAGGATGTATGATGGAACATGGGTCCATACCATACAAGAGACACTAGGGATTTTCTCCCATCTCCTCATGTGGCATCAGCATCGCTATGAGATGAACTAAGGTGAAATCCAAGAAGGACTAAGAGGAGAATAACTAGATTAGGTTCCCGGCGAGGCGACTGAATAATTAGTCAGAGGATACCTAAATAACTTAAGCGACTATCAATGAGGCGTACTGACTCATCGCAAGATGTTGAAGGCGGAAATTAAGGTGATGAGATGAATCGAATGATCATGGTGGGTGAAGAACGATCGACCGGGAGGATGACGCAATGGTGGAATGGCATGGGTAGGGGGCGATTTGAAGACGCAGGAGATTATGGTTCCGAGCCGCTCGGGACCCTGGTATTCTGCGAGATCGGCGCGAAGTTTAAGAGCGTATTCCGTCTTACCTCTTGATAGTAAAGGTATTGAAACCTCATGCCATTGGAAAACTTCAAGAAGAACATTCATCTTTATTAAGTATTCATTCATAAATGAGCATTCAAAAACACAAACATTCATGAATAAGCGATCACTGCCATCCATAACTGAATAATAACATTCCTTTCCTTCTTGAAGAGCATAATTTCCCTGCAGAACACTGGCTCAAATGCACCAACACCAATCGATGACCGAGAAGCTCAGTGCCGAGAGTTTGAACGACGAGCAGCATATCATGAGTGCGAATGTCAGCTAGTAGAGCAGGCCACCTAAATTATCAGGCCTTTAGAAACCTGCGAGAAATCGTATTGCTGTTGTGGGCATAAACTGTCATGCTACGGTGCCCTCAAAACTTGCTCAGAAACATTAACAGTACGATTCAAACATTCCACTTATAAACGAACTCAGTTATCTACACGACTTCTGAAATTTTACGAGCTGCACGAACATGTACGGAAAAACGGGACTTTTTGGATAGACTTAGGTACACTATGTTACAACTAAACACATCAGGTTATGATAAGGACGTGTTCCTTATGTGCCTTATAAAGTGTATATTTAAGAATAAGTTTATTTTATACAAGTACAAACTACGTAAAAACAACTTAAAACGATTACTGGAGTAGTTTTATAGTCCTACTCAGTCTAGTGTTAACTTGTGTTCAAGATTATCACTAACCTCTTTGGAGTGTAGGTTGTTTTCTACTGTTTGCCCCTCCATACATCCAACAGTTTTCACTCCTTCCTGAAAATTAACTATAATGCAGACCAAGTTCCTACACTCATAATGATAGTTATAAATTCGCTGAGAAGGGGACATTTTGAGTAAGTGTAGGATAAGCAAGGATGAGCGCTGGTTAGGGTTCAGTTAAGCAATGTACGCCTAAATATTTGAATCAGTTCAAAATTTAGGCCCATATTTCTGTAATTACACTAGTCACCACATATACTACGACAATTCAAAAACATAACTTCTATACCTTTTCTAGAATATTATTAATTGTTTATTATAACTTGCTGTATTGCACATGCAACAGAAGTTGAAGAACATGTAGTAAGTTTTAGTTTTTTAATCTTTTATAATATACACACTCCAATTCTTTTACCTCCCTTCCTTACTGAAGAGCACGGGGGAGGATATCGGTGTCAGTTTGTTTTCCGTATAAGGGCACGTGCGAAACGGAAGACAAACTACTTCTTTGATAAAAACCCCTCCAATTAATTTGTTACATTCTTTGTAATAATTTCATTTACATTTACTTTGTGTTTACTGTCACTGTACAGCAGCTCGAGGGAAACCCGACGCTGTAGAGTGATAGTACCTGAAAAGGGTTTCATATAATAATATTATTATGTTGTTATACATTAGTTCAGGCCTCGGGCCTACCCGTTGGGGTTCGACCAATCGGTCATACTTCTTCGCATCGACCAATGGTCGTCATACGTCACATTGACGTGTTCACATATACTTACAGTATATTATAAGTTCTTCCGTTTTTCATGTTTTTCATATTTTTCACATATTATTCATATTTTCACATACTTTTATATATTTCACATGCATAATTATACTAATTCACATAGGAAATATAAATATAGATAGTTTTACTGTTGGCTTATCATTTATACACATCTTAAGGTTATCCAACCATAAATAATGTTAATACTACTTATATATTTTCTGGCATTCATCCTTTTACACAGTTGCATGTGTATTGTTTCACAACAAATATTGTTTTTATTATTAGATTTATTATTAACAATTAATTTAAATCAACAATTAACAATACAATATTGTTAACAACTAATCAAGATAACGAATACGAATAAAACAGATCGCCCTAAACCATTATACGCTCCATAGGAAGATCCTCCTCTTCTAATGCTCCGGCTATAGTACGCTTTCGCCCACTTGTATTGTGCACCACTATTTGTCGTGACCTTTCCTTAATTACAATAATACATAATAGTATACATAGACGTACCAATGATATGAGCAAGTAGTAACCTACTTTATCTCAGTACCTCCGTGTCATACCATACATTATTACCTTAATCTCGGAATTTTGTTCATTGCTTCATGTACATCGTATCATTCGAATCTGCTTCAAGTCCGGGTAAGGCCAGGTCACCTCTTTTCACTGTTCCTGACTCAAAATAAGTTTGTTTTTCCCTTTTACACTTTTCAAATATCATTTACATTGAATTCTTCCTTCTCCTTTTCGGACATTGAGCACACAATTCGGTTAGGCCTTATATCCATCTTCAGTATGTTCATATCGAACCTCATCAAAAACCGGCAGTGTATCATGCCACGCCTTATAAACATATCCGGTACGGGTTTCCCTTTTGCCTTGTAGATGTCGGTTATTTTCATACGTAACAATAAGCTTAAATATACCCCTTTAATTTGACTATTAACTTCATGAAATACTATAAGTCTATACACAATACTTACCCTAAATTGTTTTGATCGGAGCTCTTTATTGTGAGCTCCTTCAAGATTGCTATTTTAGTTCCTTTGTCCTTGTTATATTCTGCTAAGCGCTTCCTACCTTCAGACATGAAGTACTTCCAAAAATCGTACGACACTATTGCCTACAAAATAATATAATAACTATATAATTTGATCTTATAATAAGGCATAACTTACACGAATTGCGGGTATCCCCTTTGTGATTACCCGCACCTGTGGGCCATGTAAACGCAGCGGGTTTGCCTTCACTTGGGTAACTAGAACACTTATACATGTTTCTAATCTAACAATTTAATAATACCAAATTCCATACCCTAGTATTACGTTTGCAAGGTTTGGCAGTAATTTATCGTATTTCCATTTATGAGGATTTTCGCATCCAGTTATACGTACCCACTCCAATAATGCACGTTTATTGATATACTCTTGGAAGTTATTCAGTCGCTTCTGCACATCGATTCTCTGAAAATTATAATTACCAGGTGCCAATTATAAATCTTTAAACATCCCACCTTTTTTACCTTGCACACTAAGTCTATCAATTACAGCCAAC